CTTAAAATACATATACAACATGTTTAATAAAAAACAATATATAATTTATTATTTATAAATTCTATAATATTTTTATATTTGAAATATAAAAAAAATAAAACAAATTATTGTTGTTTTTAGAGCAGCTAGGTCAAAGAACATTGTAGCATGGTTATATTATTTACGTGGACAGTTGAGAATTTCTTCACTGTTCATATGAATAGTGAAACACATGCGCTATTGTTTCACCTTGACCGAGTTTGGTTCAAAGTTTAAAATATATTGTACCGGGTTCAATTCAGTAAAATAAAAATTATTTTTTATTTTTTAATTATATTTTATTTAAAAAATTAGTGTTTAATATTATTCAATGATACTATATAAATTAGACGGAGATCATTTGATGACGTGGTATTTGAAGAATTTGATCTCAATCCTAATTTTGTTCCTGATTATATTTTACTTGATATTGCTACGTGCTTAAAAAACAAAGAAAATTATAGTTCTTGTCGGATGTATTTTATACCTGATGAAATTATGGATAGTTTAATAGAACAATAAAAAATATTTTATATAAAGTATTATTTATTTCATGACATAATAGCAATAGTTAAATCTATAATATTTGAATAAAAAACCATCAATATTAATATATATCTTTTAAAATTATTTTATAATCTCAATTTCAAAACCATTTTAACCAAATATATTAAATTATTTTTTATTCAATCTCAATTTCAACTACAGTTTTAACCAAACATGTATAGATACTAAATCAACTTCAATCAAAAATATTTTTTATAAAATAATTTTTTTCAAAGTACAATTACAAAAGCTACCATAATACTAAACAGACTTATATATAAAAAAAAAGACAAAATTTACGGAGAATTTTAATTAATTACTCATAGTCAAGTTAAGAAATTAACAACCACGGTAAATATAACCAAAACTAAATGATGGGTTTTTCTTTAATAAGTTATATAATAAATTTTGATTATGTGATTCATATATAGTAGTGAATTTTGTTCTTGAAAATATGTTTTCCGAGGAGGAAAAAAAAAAGCATTCATGCTATATAAAAAACTAAGATCTTCTCCTCCTAGTTGATGTAAAATAGTGTAGTTAGATTTCTTTTAATATAACAAGATATCCACGATTCATTACTAAAAAGAGAAGTTTATGAATGTGTCTATGAAATTATATACGAACTAAAAGGAAAAAAAACATTTTACTAAAGAAATGATATAATTGTAAATTTTTTCAATTTTTTTTATTATAGTGGTAATAAATTTGTAATTTTTAGGGTTTTTTTTTTTTTAGAAAACAAGTTTTTCTTATATATTTTTTTTCTATATATACTTTATATTTTATCGTTTTACACTTGGTCTACTTATAACTATTTTTTAATTATCTTAGTTTGTTTTTGTAATATTGTTTTCTTTTTTTCTAGTCTTTTTCTTTATATATTTTTTTAAAAATATTATTTTTTTTATTTTTCACACTTTGAATATTTATCACTCCACTCACTTGACTTATTGATACCATTCTTTTTATTATTATCTGTAATCAGCACATTTAAAATGCTTTAAACAAGAGCCAATCCATGCGAATGCCTTGCACCATACACTTTGAACTCTTTATTATTGTATGTGACTGAATTCCTCTTTTTCGTCATTCATTCTCCTTGGTCCTGGCTCTATTCATGAAATATCTGTCCCTTTATTATATTCTAGATTGCATATTAAATCTATAACGCATGCCTTGTACTAAAACTATAATTGCAAAACAAAATCAGTAACTTTCAAAAGACCTGGTTTTAAATGGGATTCTGTTAATTATAGAAAACATACTATTCTTCGAGTATATGATATTATATGGCTAAACAACATAGATCTTTCCGTGCTAACTACTAACCAAAAGGCTCCCGATTGAATGATTGGATTGAAGTAAATAAAAGCAATTAAAAGATAAAAATTAAACAAAATATAAAATTATTATTTCTCCTCAATCTAAGATAGATAGATATATATATATATATATAAAAAAAGCCCAAGAAAAAAAAAACATTAAAAAGAAAAGCAACACCCAAAAAGTGAAGGAGTCAAACTTGGCTTGCATGAGAAAAATAGAAACAGAAGAATGAAAGGGGAATAGAAGGATCAGCCTGCTGCTAGTGGTTTTCTGGAAGAAAAGGATGCCTCTGCTCTGATTTTGGGTTGTTTAATTCGTGGCAGAAACAAAAAGGCAATAATGAGGTACAATATTCCACCTTGATATAACCTATGATGGTGTGTGCTAGTTAAAAAAGAAAAGAAAATAAAATAAAATGCAGGTCATGAAATGAAAAGATTAACTTGTATAATATTGTGATAACATTTATTTTTTAAAATGTTTTTTATTTGAAAATATTTTTTATTTTTTTAAATTTATTTCTAATATTATTGCATCATAATAATATAAAAAAACTAAAAATTAAATTTGTTTAAAAACGTTTTTGAAACAATAAAAATAAAGAGGCTGGTTCCACGAAAAACACAAGCAAGCAACAGAGGTCTACGTGGAATGGATACGTGTATGATGGGAAAGGTAAACGAGGAAGGTGATGGGTATGCACGCGTGGGCAGAGAGCGTGTAATGTAAAACAGAGGAGAGAGAATAGAGAAAGTGAAAGAGAAGGGGTAGGGAGGTTTCCTTTTATTGATTAATGAACAGAACAGAATCAGCCACTGCCAAAGAGAAAAGGACAATATTTGGCTCCTTTTATTTTCTTTAACACCTCTGTCCTTCACTTCTGTGCTAATTATTACTTACCACTACTGCTCCTTGTAAAGTGATCATGTCCTGAAATTAGGCCCAGGTGATCTCGTGAACTTCACCGCTGCCCAGAACCAACTACAACCCGTATTTCTTTTTTAAAAAACAATGTTTGAATTTATATTTTAAAAGTATTTTAAATATATATATATATTATTTTTATTTTAAATTATTTTTTATATGCTTTTATATCATTTGATATTAAAAATAATTTTAAAAAATAAAAATATTATTTTAATATATTTTTAAATAAAAATATTTTTAAAAACACAGTCACAAGTAAATATAAAATACATTAGTTTTATCTGATGGGCTGTGTAGCTCAATGCTGACGGTGGCAAGTTATTAAATTTTAATGATTTCTTACCTATACCCTTGGGACACATTTCAAAACAATATAATATGCAAAATTTATAGATTTAGTTAAAACTAGTTTTTTCTTTTTCTTTTTTTCTGCGGGCAATGTTTGGCGACAAGTTTTCTTTAACTTAATTTTTTTTATATATTTTGATATGTTAATTTTAAAAATATTATTTAAAAAAATATTATTTTAATATATTTTAATATAAAAAACAATCATAATTATATTTTTAAATAAATATTTAAATATCTATATGCTAAAAAATCATACAGCATGCAAAGATATAAGGTTAATATCACCAACATTATCTTTCAATAGAAGCTTTAAGCATAGGAACACATACCACACAAGAATGTGCTTTATTGTGAACGACAGAAAAAAATTAACACAAAAAAAATAGAGTTGGGATTGGGAAATTCTTTAGTATTGTCATTAAACTTGATTAAATGAGTGAACTTTGAAAGCCATGATTTAATTCTTTAACTAGTCTAGGTTTTAAAGTAAACAATATAAACTATCTTAGTATAAACTTGAAGGAAATCCAAACAACATATAAAAGCATGATTTAGTTTTGGTTTTTTTTTTAAGATGATATCTTTAAAAAGAAAACATATTGAGATCACAATTTAATGAATTACCCTAACTTTGTGACTTGTCTGGTTGGAGCCATGATTCAGATTATGAACTTCATTAAATTTAATAACCTTTTTTCATAAAAAAATATTTTTTATTTAATTATAGGATAAAATATAATTTTTATAAAATTTATATCTCATATCATATCATAATATTTGTTTAAGATCGCGATAGCTTACAAAAAGTAAATAAAATTTGTCATATTAGCTAATTTTCATTAACCCTGTCAAACATGGATGATTAACTCAATCAAGTTTATTGTTTGTAAACACATAAACTAGAGTGAGTCGAAGTCCCACCCCACCACATGAATCCTTTATTTATACCTAATAATCATTCTCATAAACATACAAACACAAATCTTAGAAGTCGCATAATTTTACGAAAAGAATATTTTATCCATATATAAAAATGTTTATTGAAGACTCAATTATAAAATGATTTATTTTTAATATAAAAAATATGGTTGTTTATTTTATTTTAGGATTTTTTTCATGAAAAAAATAATAATTTTATTTCGGCCATTTATTTCTTCTCTTTTTGACTCTTTTTTTTCCCTTTCTTACTTGCTTCTCCGCTAGTTCTTGATTTATGCTGGTAAAAAATGATTATCCAATAAAAAATAATAGTTTAATTAAGAATTCAGTAGATGGATATCTACATTGACTGAGACTATTACAATAAGGAGAAAAAAGAAGAAAAAAGAAAAAAAAGGGAAGAAGAAGAAAAGCAAAAGAAAATCTATATAGCCACGTTTACCAATTTTCCACATGTTTTTCCGGGAAAGTTCTCCTTTTTCTCCTTCAAAATTTGGTATGGTCCAAGAAGAGGTCTCTCTCTCTCTCCCCCTCGAGTGAATATAGAAATTTGGTTCTAACTGATGCTCCAAGTTATCTACGGCTTCAACTCCAAATAGCCGCCTTATCAGATTTGGACTAGCAAGGGATCAGCTCTAGGTTTTTCCTAGTTTTCTCTAGGAAGACACGTTAATCACATGCCATTTCTATATAGATACCCGAATGGGGAGGGAAAAAAATACCTTCGATTCTTTTTTATAACTTCAAGCTGTCTGTGACTAGTTAGAGTCCCCAAAAAGCGTATCTTTATGTATTCAGCGCAGCCCACTTGTTAATTCAGTGAAAAGTGCTTTCACAAGAATATTTTTTAGATTTTTTTTTTAAATTTAATATTAACACAAGAGCACCTAAAAAAAAAATAGATTTGATGTTTTTATTGAACCACAGAAACAAAAACCGCTGCTGGGCAGGGTATAAAAACGCATTTGCATTGAAAAGACATAGATTTATGTGGCCTTTTGAAAGCACTGCACGCTCGTTGACAGCTCTGGAGGTACATTCCCAATCAAATGATACTTACAAGCCCCACCAAGTGAAGGAAGAAAAGAGAACGCAAGAAAACTTCCTACACAAAATAAATACGTACTCAGCAAACAAGGGTGGGGTATATAATATATATGCAGCATAGCATGTCTGATGTGGTTGCATACACTGAAAACCAAAACTGATACTGGAAGGATGCCTTCCAGAAACAAGAGACATAAACATAGTCAAGAGTGTTAAACTCATCCAGAACTTCAGTAAGAATGTGAAAGCCATGGGTGCTCTAGTGCCTCCTTTGCAGTTAGTCGCCTCAGGGGATTGAGCTCAAGCAAGTTTCTCATGAAATCAATGAATCCAACATCAGAAATTTGTAGATGATGCTCCAGTGAGGACTCTTCAGGAATAAGGTATTCCATTTGATTTGTCTCCTGGACATGGAAAGCGAGGTACGAGTCAGAATTATGATTGGCAATATATTTCATCGTCCTTGAAGACAATTGAACTCAACTAGCATATTTAATCACGTCGTTTTCAGATCTTGCTCTCATGCGGGTAATGTGCTGCCTGCCCTTGTTAAACACTCAAAGCATAGATAATGAAGAGACACATCTCCTTGGCCCTTTCTTAAGAAAAAGCACAAAATAAAAACCTAAGTTGATTAACTATCATACAGAAATTAAATGAAAATGAATGACCACAAGCTGATGGATGCAGAGTTTACAAGAGCGTAATCTTTCCCTCCCTCCTGGATACTTTTATACATATTATATTCCAAAAAACATATTCTGAATGCATAAAGGTAAAAAGTTCAACAGTCTGCCAGTCCACATGTATCTTTTGAACTGAAAGAAATATGACAAACCTCATTTGAATAATACAAATCGTATTCTTCTGTAAAGTACTTGTGCGTTTCCTGTCCCCTCACCAACATCTCTGGATGAATAGGACCCAGCATACCAATCATGCGTGCGAGGATCATTACAACGGCATCATTTGGAAAGAGCACCTGACAACCCAGAGCAAACAATATAGGTTACCAGGAAAAATAATCACTGAACGCTCAAGTCAACCCTGGGCGGGTATAACTAGCAGCAATATCCACTTTAATTTTATTGAATGAAGCAAAGCAAAGCCTGACATACTTCCCCAGAGCACAGCTCAGCCAAGATGCAGCCAAGAGACCATAAGTCAATCTTCTGGTCATAGGGGAGACCTAGAATGACTTCAGGGGCTCTGTAGGAACGAGATTGAACATACAGGCACAAGTTGTCTGACTTAAAGCAACTGCTTCCAAGATCAATAACCTTTATCTCACATCTCCTATAACTCTTTATAAGAATGTTTTCAGGCTTTAAATCACAGTGAATAATTCCCAGGTGATGCAAGTATTCTAGTGCCTCCAAACATTGACGGGTTATGACCTGCGAGCCAAACAACCAACAGCCCACTGTTATACACATTTCTAAACCAAGAGCCGTGGGCATGATAAAAGAATGAGGTCACACCAAAGAATCAGAAGGAATGCTAATATGAATTGAGGCTTAACCTAGCTAACCTGCAATCTGCTCAAAGTGAAATAAGCTTTTCCACCTGATTCTTGACTAAATTTCTGAAATTCATACAGGTTCGCCTTAAGGAGTTCACAAACGATGAAGAGATGCTCCTGTTAAGGTTCATTAATTAGAAAATGTTAGTAGGTGTTCAAGAATTTGCCAGTAAGAGGATGGCAGAAAATTCTTTTAGCAGGCACAGAATAGCATCTATATAAGGAGAGTGATTAATGAAACCATGCCAATTTTTTGGAGAAAAAATTAACTACCCATATTTTCTAGACATACTTGATGATAGAAGTAGTCATAAAGGCGCAAAATGTGATGTTCATCCGCCGGATCATGCTTGTTGACTATCTTCAGAAGTTTAATTTCATCTAGACTCTGATCAAAGAAATCTTTGTCATTTTTAATAATCTTCAAGCAAACATCCATTCCTGTGTGAAGATCATGTGCCTGAATGACCTTACTGAAAGCAGCTGAACCTAGGTATTCCGTGACATAATATCTGCCAGCAATGACAGTATTTAGCACAATGGGCAGATCCTTGTTTTCCTCAAATCCAGTCCTGTAGATGGCATACCAAACAAAAATGAGAACAGAGTTCTAAAAATTTAACCTGCATTGCACAAGCATCAAATCTCTGTAAAAACAAAGTACTAACAGCAGGATTAATTCCATGACTACAAGATCTACAGTAATAGGAGGGAAAATTCTCTACAGAGGCAAGTCTGTACCTTCTGATCAAGAATGGGTGGATAAGTTGCTAGCATCGAGAAACAGGTCAGTATTATCTTAAGTTATATCGATTCCTAGTGATTTAAAACCAGCTGCCAAGGCAGACACAAAAAGTTGAGCTAATTTGCCTATTTCATGGGAAGACCAACCCAATTTTAAGACTCTCTCACTTGACATGCATGCCAAAATTTGAAGCACAAAGCAACACAATTAATCAATCTACTGTCTTCAAGAACCTGTTTTTCCTGTGTATAACTCGCAGATTGAATACTTCATATTCATCCTCCTGGTTATAGTACATCAAAAGTTCGGCAGCATCAATATCTTCTCCACCTATAGCAGCCTCAAGCTCGTGGGCTTCTCCATTTACTTCTCCACCATCTCCGACTTCAAAGTCATCAATTACATTTTCTATGATGTCAGAGGTACTCTTAAACCCTTCAATCCAGTCACTGTTGAGACCTTTTTTACAATAGTAATTAGCATTCTCGTTTCCCATGTGCACATGGGCTATATCATAATCAGCAAGGCCTTCCCCACCTTTTAGCTGAAAGTCACCTAAATCAGTTTCTTTAGAGCTCAAGTAGATATAGTCAACAGGATTCTTGCTGTAAGTCCCTCCTGTTTTTTCACAGCATTTGCAATTGGAGGCTGAACTACCATCCCCCTCAATGTCTCCTTCAAGCTGGTTTCTTATATCAAAATGATAATAACTCATAGAGTGAGCCTTGTTTTTATTATTCACAGACGTGATGTTGAAAAGACACTGCTTATCCAAGTAACCAGCTGTTCCTTCAGTTTCACCTTCAGATTTATCATACAAACCCAAGTAGTTTTCAAACTGCTTCTCAGTCTCTGATGTCATGACAAACTTATCCTCACTCGGACAGCTAAAGTAGTCTGGCCCATTGAAGCAGGGAGTCATGAAGTGGCCATCCTCTTTCTCATCATACCAACAAAAGTCATTTTGCAAGTCAAAATCACGGTAATCACACGCTGTGCCAAACTGAGACAGCCTATCAGATGAAGTTTTTGAATTAGCCTGAGATGGAGAATGAAGTCCATATGGATTTGAGAACTCTGCAGAAACAAAAGGGGGTCAAAATGCTTAATTGCCCTGCCAACTAAAATTGATATAGAATAGCAACCCAAACTACAAGCACAAAGCACGAAAGAATAACCATGGCAGGATACCAGAAACGAAACAATAGTGTGATAAAGAGTTTTGCAGATAGCTTTCATTCAGCATGCAGGCTTCGATAAAATGCTCACACTAACAGATTGCTAATTTATGCGGTATATTCTCAAACTTGATTCCCAGAGATTATTTGGCGTCAGGATCAGTGCTTTGACTAATATACTGATTGCCATATTCTGAAAATGAAGTGATGATGGACTATTAATGGGGTGAAACAGAAAACGAATTTGTAGAAATGATGAAGATGAGAGGTGAATTAATCAGAACAATGGATTCAATATTTTTTCTGAAAACGAGTGCCTTCCAGGACAAATAATTCTTCCGAATTTGACAAGGAAAAAGAAATGACGGAGGGTGAAATAATAAGAAAAAAGTGGTTTTGTAATCGCTAATATGACGTCAAGTCCCTTACTTCAAGTCATAATCAAATAGAAATTTTCAATAACGAGCCATTTACTAGTAGGAATCTTGCAGGCAATTTTGGAGCTTCAATTGCAATGATACTCTAATAAAAGAATAAAAAAAACATATCAATTTGAAAAACTTCCACATTGCAGTAAACCATATGCCATCCATCAATCTACAAAAAATAAGATTTCAATCAAACAACATCAAGTGTCCCCTCTGGAACAACTGATGAAATCGGACCGATTCAGAAAGGATCAGCGTGACCATTTAGCAAAGACGACACGCACAAAACAATAAATTCTTGATTCTAAATTTTTCACGATGTATGACAAGATAAAACAAATAGTATCTGCTTCATCATAAGCAATATGATTGATCAACAAACTCAAGCAGAGCTTTTAAAAATCGTATTACCAGCATAACATAAACACGACTCAAGATTCTTATCTCTTGCGCATTTCTTCATCTTCTATAATGCCTTGATCAATCAAGAGATTTATAATTAAAGAAAAAACAACCAATCAAGAATTATACTTTAATCACAATCAACCAAAAAAACCTGATATAATATCAACGACTACCTGAAGAGTACACACCGCTGGCAGTAGTAGAGGACCCCAAGCTAACAAACTCATCGGCCGACAGAGAACCAGAACTCGGTTGCAACCTCTCGCCACCGCCGCCAAATCCTTCGACCTCCAGTAGCCGCCCATTCGCCTGAATCCTCACGGGTGGCAAGACAAACAAGAACTTCTCAAAGTCAAAGGAACCCAATTCAGTGTTTCTCTCATTCATGTCCTCTTTAAGAGCCAACTCTGCGTCCTTCAACCCATTTTTGCGTAGAAAATCCAACACTGCTTCCACGTCCGGGGCTGCTAGTCCTGTTTCTGTTTCCGGTCCCGCCATTAAAGAAAGTCAAAATATTTGAAGCAAAGAATAAACTCGAGAGCAACGAAAGAGTGGTGCTTGCATGTGAATTAAGTAAATTTGGAGGGTCAAAAGTGGAAAAACGCATAGCATGTTTTAAGGTTTGCATGCCTCTGGCTGTTTTGCTGTAAGGCTGAAGCCAGAGGGAGGTTGTCATGTCTTTGTATTACCAACTCTGGGGAGAGGGTTTTTTGGGGTCACGTGACACGTGGATAAATCAGGAGCATACAAGACTTAAGTGGATGGTTCTGATGGTTTTTTGGTCTCGGTAGTTTTTGGTAGACTGTCATTTTGCTCGTTTAAGGGGACCATTTCCTCCTTTTTATCTTCGAGAAAGCGTGTGTTGATCTTCTTTTTTTCACTTTTTGGTAGTGTGGGGCAGTAAATCTCTTTTCCACTGCTGGGCGTGATTTGGACATTGATAGAATTTCTGGGTTTAATGAGACTCCTTGTGGGTTAATTAAATCAGCCACTGCTTAAAAAGTTCTACCTTGACATTTACCTTGACTTTTCTTGTGTTCGAGATCTTGTTCAGTAGCGTTTTAAAAATAAATTTAGTTTTAAAAAATATTTAACTGTTATTTTTATTTAATATTTGTTTTTGATGTAAAAAATTATAAAAATTCCGAACACTATATTTATAATTTATAATTGCAAACTAATTTCTTCATCCAAAGACTTGAATCAAGTTGACTTTCATTCCATGATATACATGGTAGTATTGTTTTGTTTATAGAAGTTTATTTAATTTGAACCGAAATCCCAAAACCAAAATCAAAATCAAATTATATGCGTGTTAACTGTAAAATCTTGTTTAATCACTTCATAATTGATTTACTTTTTGCAGTTAATAATCTAATTGGATAATTTCATTTGTTCCTCGCACTAATAAACAGGCAAGGTGATATTTGTCTCTCCCCCCCCCCCCCCCCCCTCTCAATGACATTTACACCAACCCACGAAGGATCCTTGTCTGCCATTGTTGTATTTCTACTTCGACTAGTAGAAAATAGCAATTCTGAATCACTAAGAAATAAAAAATTCTTAAGAAAGCTCTTTCACCTTGAGCCCAGGAAGATTCCCAGTCCCCGATTTTACTATCCTTAATTTATCCTTTACTTATGAGAAAATTAAGGTAGCTGCTTTCCTTTGGCTTTTGGCTGAAAAAAAGATGCGAAGGCTATACCAAACGAATAATTGATCACCTATTGTCCCAAAAACATCATGATAGTGCCCTAGTTTTTAATTTCGGTGGTTGGCTACTTTTCATGATCAACAACAGAGACTCTTTGGTATTGGAATTGCAATTGTTTTGTAGAATAATTTTTATTTATAAATATATTAAAATAATATTTTTATTTTATTTTAAAATTTTATTTTTCACATCAGTATATTAGAATAATAAAAAAAAATTAAAAATTATTATTTAAAAAAAAAAACACAAACACGCTACATTGCCATTCATGAAAATTAGTTGCATTTATCACCCTCGAACAATATGTAAATGATAACTTTTTCTACAATCCAAGTAATAACAGTCTTCTCAGCGGTTAATTTAAACTCTCCTTCTCCTCGAATTTAAAGTAGAATTATACTAGTGCTAAGGTTCAAGGCAGTGCTTTCTTATTTTTTTCTGAAAATTAGCTTAGTTTTTTAAAAAATTAGCTGAAAAAACCGTAATTTCCACTTACCTGCGAGTTTTTAAAAAACCGGAGGTGCTTGCAGGTGGGAACTGCTGTATTTAAATAAATTCCAAGTAAAAGCTGCTATTCTTTTTCTTTTTTTTTAAAAAAAAAGCATAACCAATTTTTAGTGTAAATATATCTTACTTTAAACACTATTTCTAACTGTTTCATTTCTCATAACCTTTTTCTACGTATATTATTTTCTCAACTTTCTAACAGGAAAAACACCCTTCATTTTTATAGGTAAGAAGTCTTACTATCTGATGAGGTCTGACTAATTAATCATTGGTTCAAGTCTGATGCGAGGGCTGGTGATTATTTTACTGGTATAGTCTTCTTTTCGTGGGGATCATCATGATAAGTAAAACACCACAACCCACACTTCACGTCATAATGTTGTTTCTTTATGAATTGTGTGACGCAAATGGCCTTTCTTTCACTTTCTAGTCTAGTTTCTTTCCCATGTGACCATCGTAACGATTGATTCAGCTGATGTTTTCCTCCCTCCTCTTCTTCCCCGTTTACTACCATTATTGTCTTCTTACTGTTCTTTCCTCTCCTTTTCTATTGGATTCGAAATTTGAACCAATTGCCCGTCAGGCAATATCAGTAGTAATTCACTGTTACCATTTATATTTATTCAGCTAATTGGAATATGCAGGTGCCAATCCGGACTTGGTGAAGTGGGGGGCGGCTATATGATTTTGATCTTGGAGGGACTATTTTGTAAGAATTGTTTTTTTTTTTTTTTATATAAGTACGTGGGTAATTTTGGATGTTTCTTAGACTTTGGGAAGGTGGCCAGGCCACCCTGGTCATCCCTACATTCGTCACTGGGAACACGTGTATCTATGCCAGTGTGGGAGATGCTCAGATTTTACACCAATTTTCAAAGTTAGGCATGGAAAAAAGAGCATTCTGTGTTTCCGGAATCAACTCAAACATGAAAATGAATCGACCAAGACTGGACAAATCCCGTGGGATCAGGCACTTAAAGGGTTGTGGTAGCAACTCATCTCCGGTAGGAAAAGAAAAGAGAAGCAAAGGGTTAGCAGGATAATGGTTATTTATCAGGCATAAGTAAAACTCATACAATACACCGTGAAGATAGCGCTATATGTGAACAAAATACACCGTGAAGATAGCGCTATATGTGAACAAAATACACCGTGAAGATCAGCAGGTGTTTTCTTCTGTATGTCGAGAATGTACCCAGTATGGTAGATAATATTAAACTTGTTTATGGGACACGTTATATATTCTTTCATCTCTAACCCTCCTTCGTCACTTGAGAACGTGAGAGTTTTGGCAACGAAAAGACGGATTTCCAAACTGAAATTCCTCTGATATATAAGTTTGACTCCCTTATTTTTTCTCCTCCTCTTCGTACATTGACCTCATAAGATCCAAGAACGAAGAAGGGGTATAATTTAAGCGAGATCCCGAAACTACCAGCCACCGGACCTAATTCATGGTAACCCACCACCTTCCTAGTAAGATACCTGCCATCACCCAAAAGTCTTGTCAAGTGTGAATATTGTTGCATGTGATTTTCTTAAGTTGTGACTGTTTGCCACATGCTCATTTGCATTTTTTGGAGCCTCTCGATTGAATGTGCTAACGCTGAAATTGCTCGTATTTGTGCTTCTTGAACGGCTATATAATTTCATCGGATAAAACAATCGACGAGATGAATCTGTATTCATCTTGTAATACAATCGATGTCGTTGCTAGACTAACAAGCAACTAATCGAACAGGTGATTATTAGATCAGTGTCCGAATATTTTCAATTAGCCTTGGGATTTTACCTCTTATAGCTTAACTCGAAATTTGAATTTAGATAATTAAAGAAATAACGCTTATTATCAAAAACTAATTGGAGACACTGTTCACTTGAATCATTTTTTATTTTGAAGTTTTTTAAATTTATTTTTTAATAAGTTCATTTATCCTGATTTCATGACCCAGGTTTAATATGTTATTTTTAATTTTTATAATTTTTTTGTAATTGAATGTTTAGTTGATTTGAAATTAAATTTTAGAATTTTTTTCCTATTTTTCCTTACAAAGTTATCCCTGCCTCGTTAATTGAGTTGTAAATTTAATAAATTAACTGAGTTTTTCTTATAATTTTATTTTTTAATATTTAGTTCATTTGAGATTGGGTTTCATATTTTTTTTTATTTTGCTTTTATGAAGTTATCACAATTTCTTTACTTGAGTTATCAGTTTGACAAGTTAACCCGAGTTAACTCGTGTCATCTTTTTTTTTATCATTTGTTTGGTTGATTTTTTTTTTAATTTTATCATTTACTATAGTTTGATTGAGAGTGAACTTCAAAATTTATTTATTTTTTCTATGGAGCTATTTCAGTTATATAATTCAGGTTGCGAGATTAACATATTAACTTGGGTTAAATTAAGTTGTTTGTTTTCTTAATTTTATTATTTAACATTAAGTTAATTATAATCTGAATTTTATAATTTATTTTAATTTATCTTATAGGGTTAGTTTAATCCTACAATCCAAATCTTGGATTTCATATATTAATGCGGGTTAACTTGCGTTGATTAAATGTGTTTTTATCTTAATATTTTTTAAAAAATATTATCTTGAAATTTTTTTAATTAAATTATATTTTAAATAATTATTTATATTATTTTTGGATATATCAAATTAACTAAGTAATATCAAATTAATTACACATAATTTAATTTATTTTTTATTAAAAAATATGTTTAGAATATCCGAATATTCTTTATATTAAAAATAGGTCGGGTCAACGATATAGTTCTCATCTATAACACCAGCGAGCACCCCTTGTTTTTTCCTAGCTTTTCTCAACGAGATTTTTTGAAACCACATATACGGTGAGTGACGGCGAGTTGCGAGACAGGCTGTAAATTTCAATTCCAGACATCCCTCTCATACTCGGTCCTTGGCTAATTTTTGGATCTTATATTTGTCATGTTTGTTATTGCGATTTAATTAAATCGTGTTTTTTAAGAGTTTTGAGAGTTTTCTTTTAAGCTTTAAATTATGTTTTTTCCAGTATTTTTATACAATTTTAACATATTTATATTAAATTTAAATTTAAATTTAAAAAATAAAAAAAATATTTTAATATATTTTAAAAAATAACCGATAACTGTAATTAATTAGCTAAACAGCTGAGATGGTTCCATGTCCATAATACTCCCCGCCCTCGATTTATGGCCCATCTAATAATGGATTAATATTTATGGCCCATCTAAAATGTGGGCAAGAGGGGAGCATTGCTAAAATTATTAGAATCAAAATGCACTTTTACCCTGATGTGAACTCTGAGATATGCTCCATGCAATCAAATCAGAAATGGTCCCAAATAAAAATAGAAGAAGGAAAAAACAGGGCAGTAACTATCACTTTAAGACAGGGCAAACCCCAAAATCCGGCTTTTGTTTAATTAGAAAGCAAAACTAGCTTGATTGAATGACAGGACACTGTTGGACATGGACGAGACCATTTGGTCTAGTTAAATGCCCTCTTTTCTGTAAGATAGTAACCC